AGAATTCCTCTCCTTTTTACAGACAAGAAACCGAGCTTGAGGCAGGAAGAAGTAGCTGGAGCCTCAGCCCTGAGGTCCCTGCCACTGTCTATTTAGCTCCTCACTCCTGGGCTTGAGGATCCCAGGCTGGGGAGGAGAGAGGGCTTGGCCCATTCCCAGGTCTTCCTGCAGAGGCTGACAGGGGCCACCACCCATCTCCCTTCCCTGCACAGCAAGCCCTCCCTGCCTCCTGGACAAGTATGTCCTCTGTGCGTGGACTTCCAGGCCACCCTGTCCCAGAAGTGGCTCCCGCTGAGATGCCTCAGCGCCGCCATGTTCTCAAATTCAAGGTGCACATGTTAGTCCTCATCTTGACTTCCTAGCGCATTAGGCTGAGCTCTGCTTTCTGAAGCACTGGGTTTCTGTGACCAGATCTCTTGGCTTTCCTCTAGCGACTCTGGCCACACATCTCCATCTCCTTGTAAGCTCGGTAGTGGCCACCTTTGTTAAACCCCAGAGTGTAGGGGTTCCCCACAGCTCAGTGCCGTGTCTTCTTCTCTGGCTCCAGATGGCGGTGGTCCTTTGTCTTCGTGGGCTTCCATGGAGATGTCACAAGGGAACCTCACAGTGTTCATATGAAGCTGGTAATTTTCCTTCACAAGCCAGCCTCTCAGCAGTGGCTTGAGGCTGGTCTACTAAGAGCCTGGTAGTTGCTTTTTTTTTTTTTTTTTTGGCTTGGTAATTGGCCTGACACCCACATAGCCCAACAGGAGGGATCCCTGATGCCTTTCCCTTCCTCCCCTCTGTGGCCCGCTGCTGAGACCTGGGCTGTTACCTTTGGGACAGCTCTCAGATCTATTTCTCTTCACTGCCTCAGCCTCCAGCCTCGTCCCAGCCCGCATTGCCTCTCCCATGCCCTGGCACCTGGTGCTGCGCCTCCCCATAGAAGAGGCTCTGTGAACAGTTGGAGGGGCCATCCTGCACTGGAGGACACATCCTTCTGGCTGTGTCCTTCAGGGCTTGGGCTGTATCTGCAGACAGATGTCTCGGATTTCTCTGCCTCTGTTGCCATGGTGCCATTCAACTCTGAGATGCCACCCAGACCCAGGAGGTACCCACGGGCTCACTCTGCCAGGATGTCTGTGCCTCCTCCTCCTCAGAGTCATCACTTCCATTTATTTTATTCTTTTAAAATTTATTTCAGATTTGGGAGACGCATGCAGGTTTGTCACTTGGGTATATTGAGTGATACTGAGGTTTGGGCTTCTAATGACCCCGTAACCCAGACAGTGAACATAGTACCTGACAGGTGGTTTTTCAACACACACACTCCTCACCCTCTTGTAGACCCCAGTGTCTGTTGATCCTATCTCCATGTCCATATGTACCTGGTGCTTACCTCCCACTTGTAAGTGAGAGCATGTGATATTTGGTTTTCTGTTTTGGTGTTAATTCCCTTAGGATAATAGCCTCCAGCTGCACCCATGTTGCTGCCAAGGACACACTTTCATTCTTTTTTATGGCTGCATAGTGTTCCATGCACTATCACTTACTGAGTACCTACTGTATACCTGACAGAGAGGAGGTATGCAATTAAGTGTTTCTTAGATTGATAAGTGAATGAAGGCATACATATATGAACTTACCCATGAGAAAGTTACTATTACCATTCTCACCTTGCACATGGAAGTCTAAGTTCTGGAGCCATTTTGTAACATAATCAAAAGACGTGATGCTGGTCCACAGTGCAGTTGATTCTGAGCCTGTCCCACCAGCCAGGAGAGGCCGCATCAGAGCTGTCCAGGGTCCCCCCTCAGCGTGATCTTGGTCTCCTCCACCTTTTTTCCCCATTGGGGCATTTCCCCTCAGTGCCTCAAGTTGGGGACTGTGTAGACACAGCCATTAGGTTAGTCAGTGCAGACTCTGGTGAGCAACTGGATAATTATTCCCAAAAATATTGACTTGTAATGTGAAGAAACTCCTCTCCAGGCCACCCGTCAGCAGAAAATTGCCTCTGGTATTAACATTTCATCAACCGCATAATGTGAATTGATGTAAATGCGTAATTAGAAATAATAGCCTGGGAAAATTTGCTCTTATTTATAAAATTGGGCTTGTTAAATTAAAATGGAAGCTAACGACTTCCATGTACTGTTACAACATGTCCGAGGCTTGGCCTGCTCTGCTTTCGGAGGCTCTTCATCACCTCGGAGGACGCTGGGTGCATCAGCAGCTCTGTGGGGTGACCCTGAGCAGGGACGTCCCCGGAGGTGGCATGGACACCACCTATCCTAAAGGTGGGTCTCTAGCAACGTGAACAGGCCTCACAAACACCTCTTTATCAACACAACAAAAGGCAGTCTACCAGGAAGGAAGGCACAGTGACAATTTTCTGAGCTCTCATTCTTCCGTAGAGTGGAACGGGGGCCAGCCTGCCAGCTCACCTGTGTGCCGGGGAGGTTGTGGGCTCTCTGTGTGGAGGTAAGGCCCTGCTTGCCTGTCTCACTGGGCCCATCCCACAGCCTCAGACAGGGAATCATGAGTCAGGCCTCCCCACTCAGGATGCTCTGGCCCCTGACTGCAGTAATAGGCTCAGGGGTGCACATGTCCCGGCTGGACCTGCAGGCATCATGATGGTGAGCTTGACCAGAGTCACCAGGAAAGTGGCACTCCTTTGTCCCCAGCAAGGCGGACTGTGGGGATGGCCAGAGCTGCCTCTGCACCATTTGGGGAGAAGTCGGAGCAGAGACCCCAAGAACTGACTCCTGTGATGCAGTCGTGCTGGGAGAGAGGTACACCCCGCATTCCTCAATTCCATGGACCTTACTACCTTCCTTTTGCATTTCACACTCCAGTCGGAGCTCAGTTTTCTGAAACAGAAAGAGTTCTGACAGTCTCTGTCCAGGTCTTTATCTCCCATTAAAAATCACTCATTAAATAGCAGCTGCTGCTACATTTAATAAGACCCAGCTTACCTGATTCCCTGTCTCTCCTAGACGGGCTCACTGATCTGCAAACAGCCTCACCTACCAATCCTATTGGCATGTTGTCTGCCCCTTCCCGTAGGGCCCAGACATCACCTTCCTGGGATGGTGGGTCCCACGTGCTCTGCAGCTGAGCCCTGGAGGGCCTGGTGTGCAGGGAGCTTCTGCTGGAAACTGGGGTAAAGTCAGTGGGAAGAGGGCCTGCCTTGGGCTGCCCTGGGGTGTGTGGTAGAGATTGGTGCAGACATAGGTGGATTTTTTATTTTAATTTAATTTTTATTTTTAAGAGCTGGGGTCTTGCTCTGTCGCCCAGGCTGGAGGTGCAGCGGCATGATCACAGCTCACTACAGCCTCGATTTGCTGGGCTCAAGTGATCCTCCTGCCTCAGCCTCCCAAGTAACTGGGACTACAGGTGCATCCCACCACATCTGGCTAATTTTCAAATTTTTTGCAGAGACAGGGATCTCACTGTGTTGCCCAGGCTGGTCTCGAACTCCTGGGCTCAAGCCATCCTCTTGCCTTGGCCTCCCAAAGTGCTGGGATTACAGGCATGAGCCACCATGCCCAGCCTGGATTTCTCATCTCCAGAGAAAGGTGTATGGTTAATGATAAGGCCCATGGAAGAAGAGTCATTCAAAAGAGACTCTCTCCAGATAGTTTCTGTCCTGTCGGTTTTCAGAGAAGGGCCCCGGGGGTCCTGGGATGGTGCATTTGGGCTCTAGTGTGGCAGAGCTGATCCTAACTCCGCCTCCAGTGCCTCCCCTTGGATGCCTTCCGGGGGCCTTGGGACCCACACTGTGGGTGGCCTCCCACACTGTTTCCTAGGCCATGCAGGGCATGCTGGGCGTGGGTCTACCCTCCAACCAGACAGAGTTCTGATGGCTCTGTCTGGCCTTGTTCCACCATGTCCTGCTACCCTCCTCACTTAGGGAGTCCAAACTTTCTTTCATTTATTTATTTTTTGAGACAGAGTCTCACTCTGTCGCCCAGGCTGGGGTGCAATGGCGTGACCTTGGCTCACTGCAACCTCCGCCTCCTGGGTTCAAGTGATTCTGTTGCTTCAGCCTCCTGGGTAGCTGGGATTATGGGCATCCACCACCACATCTGGCTAATTTTTGTATTTTTATGGAGACAGGGTTTCGCCATGTTGGCCAGGCTGGTCTCAAACTCCTGACCTCAGGTGATCCACCTGCCTCAGCCTCCCAAAGTGCTGGGATTACAGGCGTGAGCCACCGTGCCTGGCTGGGAGTCCAGCCTTTCAAGGAGACAGGCTGCATCTTCCCTGAAGCTGTCCCTCTGCTAGGACAAAGGGGAAATTCTCTACCTCCCCTTTTTTTAAGTGGAGAAACCTGAGGCCAGATTAGGGAAGGGGCTGGCCCAGGGTCACACAGGGTTCAGAGGTGGAGAATGGACTGAGCCGGTGGCTGGGAGGCTTGCTTACGACCAGGGCTGCCTCCCTTTTCCTGGCTCCACCTGCCCACCCCAGGGAATAGGGGACCCTGAGCAGTTGTCCCTGGGCCTCCCCTGGCTTCTTCCCTCCTCCCATCCCTCCCCCAGGGACACAGGTTCCCTTTTCATGTGGGAAGAAAGCTGCCCACTTGTCTGCAGGAACAGCTGGGCCTTGTCCCCTCAGCTGTGGCTGGGAGCCTGCCGCAGGCTGCACAATCCTGGCTGTGTCCTGGGGGCCCTGGCGCTGACAGAAGCGCCTTGGCTTGGGCCCAGGAGCTACAGGGGGCTTGGGCCAGTGGGGCTGAGGCAGGGCCCCTCTGGGAGCCCATTTCTTCAGGCCTCTGCTTTCTCTCACACCCGGGGGCTGGCACCGGCAGAGGGGAGGGATGCTGAGGCTGAGGCTGAGGCTGAGGCCGGAGAGCAGGGCCTGCTCTCTTCTCCTCACTCCTAGGCAATGTGAGCCACTGAGAGAAGCAGGTGCAGATTTGCTCCCCACATAAGCCCCCTCCCTGAGCTTAAGTCCCCCAGGGGGGCCCGAGGCTCTTCCATAGGTGCACAGGGGAAGAGCAGAGGGAGACAGTAGAGTCAGGGGTAGGTCCCCATCTGGGCCTTGAGGGTGGCGTTTATTTCTGGCTCTTCTGACTTCAGCCCCTGAGCCTGGGCAGCTCCTCCCACTGCACTGTCCCCAGGGCAGAGGCCTTGACATGCCATTCAAGGCCACTGCGTCCCCACCGGCCAGCCCCGCCTCATCTCTCTCCTTGGGCTGGCCTGCGTGCTGAGTCAGGTTTCCTCCTCGGCCCGTAGATGAAGGGTTTGCTTTGAACCCGCGTTCTATCAAGCGCTCTGCAAACACCACCACACACAGCATCAGGAGGCCAGCGCTGTGCCAGTCCTGACTGTGCAGATGCGGAGGCGAGACTCAGGAAGGTCAAGCAGCTTGCCCAGGGCCACAGCTGGCCACAGGTCCTTTTCACGCCGAAGCATGTACTCGGGACCAGTGGGCTCCACCGCTGCTCCACGGCTGCTCCAGCCATCTTGGTTCCAGCTGCCGTTTCTTCTGCCTGGAAAGTTGTTTTCTTTATCCAGATGACAACCGATTATTGAGTTCTTCCCCTGTGCTTATTCATGGTCTTACATTCTAGAGGGGCAGAGAGATGATAAACATGAATAAAGAGAAAAATCAGACAGTAGAGAATTGAAAGAGGGGTGTGCTTCGGGCGTGACTGGGGGTGCACTTTAGCAGCAAGGGCAGGGACCGTTACTGGGGACTGGATGACAAGGTGGGGGAACAGCTTTGTAGAAAGCAGAGGAAAGCATGCCGGGCAGCGGGGAGAGCCATGCAAAGGCCCTAGGGTGCGGTGAGCACAGTGTACCCTGAAAATGGTGAGCTGTGGGTCTGGGACTGCAGGAGTGGGTGCAGGGGGTGTGGAGGACGCATGACTGCTGAGGCTGCTTCCAGGAATGGGCGTCCGTGTGGCTTTATGTCCCTGGACTCGCTTGTCCTGTCTGGGCATTGGGTCCACAACAGCTCCCCGCTACCCAGGTACCAAAGCTAGAGAGGAGTCATGGGGACAGGCAGACATCTCCATTCAAGTAGCTGAAGGCTTGCCATAATCAGAAGAGTCAGCCTGCTGCGTGTGTCCCCAGAGAGCTGGGACTGATTGTGAGAGGTGAGTTTGGGAGTATTTAGCAGCAGCAGATACTTGGGAATGAGAAGAGTCATCTGAGAGACAGCGAGCTGCCCGTCCCTGGCAGAATCTAAGGGAGCTATGCCTCGAGTCAGAAACTGTTGGAACAGCTGACCCCAGGGGACGGAGCAGAGGGAGCTGGGGCACTGAACGGGGTGGGACTGGCTGACCCTGGGGGCTCTTTAGTGCATCTGTGCTGCCTGAATGGGGAGGGATGTCAGAGCTGGAGGAAGGGTGCATGCTCCGTGCAGACCAAGGCCTTTGAGTGCTTGGGTCACATTGCAGGGCTGGCTCCGAGGTCTGGGCCAGAATGTGCCTGGTGCTTAATAAATTTTGTAGCTTGATTGATTTCATCCTGGCCCTGGAGGAAAGTGAAGGGAAGATTTCTTGATTTGAGAAGACCAAATTAGGAACAGATGTCTTTTCAAGCTATTAATAGGCGGTTAGGGAACAATGGGGCTTATTTTTAAAGGAGCCCATAGCATGCCGGTTGCTGCCGTCCACTGGAACGTTCCGTGTTGGAGCATTTTGTATTCTTCAGGGTGGAGAGTCAACAACTGGGTCCCCCAATGCTCCGCTCAGGTCATGACCCAACAGGTCAAATTTAACTTCTTCCTCTAAACCACTCCATTTCCCATTAGGGGCCCCAGAACACCCCACGATTCTAAGTGGGTACTGCCATGAATGCTTTCTTCCCAGAGAAGGATTGGTTCAAGATGTGCACTAATTGGCTCAAGTCACCCTTTGAGATAGAAGCCTGGGGTTTGGCTCTTAGGCAAATGAGTATAAACCACCATGGAAGCTATTAGTAGCATTGGTAGCAGGATTCACAACTGCAATTGTTGGAAACGAAAATTGTCGATGACTCTGTGCATGCGTGCTCTCTCTCTCGATTGCAATTTAAAAACTAACACCACTTAGCTCATCAAAAATAATCGTAGTGAGGAAAATGGCTTTGTTTTAAAAGATCCCCAACATTTTGCCTTAATGTGTTCCTTTGAAGAAAGTAAAGTTAATTATGATGCAGACGAGAGAGTTACCTGACTTGATTTAATGGGGTGGATTGTGTCTGAGTCCCCGCCCTGCAGTGTGCACGGACATGGGGGTGGAGAGAGTTCTATTCTGGGGCAAGTGTGCCTTCCGGGCAGGCCACTTGGCCATGCAGCTTTCCGGGCTTATGGTGGTTAGCAGGAAAGGCAGCACCCCAATACCCTTGCTGACCGTTGGTCATTTTTGAGTGAGGCCCAAGCTTCTCTCTGGGGACTGAGCCCTGCTGGGATGCCTGCCCCCTCCTTGTCACTGGGGCTTGTCTCAGCCCTGCAGAAGTGCCTGCCTGGAGACACAGTGGACATTGTTGTCATGTCCCCCATACCTCCTGGACACGCATGGCCACCCTGCACACCAGCCACCTTACCCTCGGTTCCTGTGACTCAGCCTGCAGGTTCCCTATAGCCATGGAGGCCTGTGGGCATCTGCATCGAAGGAGTGGCTCCAGCCAGTGACGGATGAATGGAGTGGATGGATAAATGCTGCAGCTTCCTCCTGTCTTATGTGGGCCAGCTCTGAGATGTGTCCTGTGCAGTTGCCAGGGGTGTCTTGCAGGCTCAAACCCCCATTGCCCACAGCAGTGACCCACTCGCCACCACCTCCCATGTCCCCCGTGTCCTTTCTCCCCCGTCTCACTTCCTATTCCATTCATGAAAGGACTGAGCTTACAGCCGGGTAGGGAGTTGGAGAGGCCAAGAGGATGGGGGGGCATCTGGTGGGGTCAGGAGGTCTGGCTGCCACTCTTTGGGCATGGCAGGGTGCCTGGGGCTGGGCACTGCCCAGTGACTTGAAGAGCACATCACCTGCTGGCTTCTCCCTCCGATCCCACTCATGGGAGCACCTGGCATGCTCAGCGGATGAGTGTGTGCTTCTCTGAGGCTGAGGTGTTGAGGACCCTGCTCAGCGCCCATCTCTCTGGGGAGAGGCACCTTTGCCCCCACTTTATCTCCACCGCCCATCAGCCCCTCTGCAGTTTGGGATGAAGCCAGGAAAAGCACCCTGAGATGGTTTGGGTGTGCATCCCCGCCAAATCTCATGTTGAAATGTGACCCTCAGTGTTGGAGGTGGGGCCTGGTGGGAGGTGTTGGATCCAGGGACAGATCCCTCAGGAATGGCTTGGGCCATCCTGGAGGTAATGAGGGAGTTCTAACCCTGTTAGCTCGCTTGAGAGCTGGTTGTTTAAAGGAGCCTGGCCCCTCCTCCCCTTTTCAACCACATGACACGCTAACACCTCCATCACCTTTCCCAGTGATTGGAAACTTCTTGAGGCCTCTCCAGAAGCAGATGCCAGCGCCATGCTTCCTGGACAGCCTGCAGAACTGTGAGGCAAATCAACCTTTCTTCATAAATTCTCTAGCCTCAGACATTCCTCTCTGGTAACACAAAACAGACTCACAGTCCCGTCCAGATGCTAAAGCCTGTGCAGGGTCCACACTCAGGGTCTGTTCTTGCCAGTAAGAAGAGCCCAGGGCTGGGCATGGTGGCTTATGCCTGTAATCCCAGCACTTCGGGAGGCTGAGGCAGGTAGATCACCTGAGGCCTGGAGTTCGAGACCAGCCTGGCCAACATGGTGAAACCCCATCTCTACTAAAAAATAAAAAAATTAGCCAGGCATGGTGGCGGGCACCTGTAATCCCAGCTACTTGGGAGGCTGAAGCAGGAGAATTGCTTGAACCCAGGAGACGGAGGTTGTAGTGAGCCAAGACCATGCCATTGCATTATAGGCTGGGCAACAAATCGAGACTCCGTCTCAAAAAAAAAAAAAAAAAAAAAAAAAAGGGCCCATGCGGAGATGCTCTGAGGCCATGGCCCTGAAATGGGTGTCATGCACTTTGCTGAGTGCTGTCTTCTTGTTGGCACCAGCGGCATCCTTCCTCTTTGGGGGACATCTTCCCTTACTCACCATGCGGGTCCTGGGGGTGAGGATGGGGCTGGCACCCAAGGAAGAGCACATGCTCCAAGCTCCAAGCCAGCACCTCAGCAGGAGTTTTCCACTGGGGGCCGAGGAAAGGCCTTGCCCCCGTCTTCATCACCCTAAGGAGGCTGGGAGCTTGTGAGCTGGGACCTGTGGCTGCCACAGCCAAGCTCTTCAGAGGAGACAGGTCTGCAAGCGTGGTGCTGACCCTGGGAAGGGCGGATTAGAGATGGAGACCATCCCGGCGATCCCAGACGTCCACAGCATGCCAGCCCTACCTGAGGTTTGGCCTCTAAACCTACAAACCCTCCCTCTTCCCTGATCTGGCTCAGGCTGTGTTTCTGTCACTTGTCACCAAGGGTCCTGACTGTCATTCCCACATTAAGACAGATTCGTCCAGCCTCCAAGGCCCCCGCTCCTTGTAATCCTGGTGACCGACGGCAGCAGCCCTGCAGCCCGTTCCATGGCATATCTGCTCCAGTCCCACCACTCAATGAATGTCACTTGTCACCAGAGCATGCTAAGGCAGTCCCCAATCCAACCAGAGACTGAGGCAGTCCTCAGGGAAGCCAGGCTGATGAGAGAATGAAAGGGACAAGAGCAAGGCCCTTCCATTGCATGGGGCGCATGGGTCCATCCGAGGGAACGGGGTGGCGGTGAGCTGTTGGTGTCCGGTCAGCACCACGGTGCCCAGCAGCGCTGTCTTGGAGAGCCCTGACTCGGGCAGAGGACAGAGCAGGGAGGGCTGGGGCTGCCCTGTGTGTTGGTTCAGCCCATGACACTGATGCCCAGGGCAGCTGGGAGCACAGAGCTGCCTGAGTGTACTGGGACAGTCCACTGCAGAGAGACAGCGCCAGAGCCACCCTGGGCACCTGAGTTCTCCAGGTTTAAAGCCTGCTCCTGGCTCCCCATGCACATGTGTCTCATCCAACCTTAAGTCTTGCTTAGGATTTGGGGAATGGGGTTACCATAGAAACGAGATGTACACAAGTAGCCTCCGTGCTGGGTAGCCAAGGATGCTCACCATTCAAGAGCCACTGAGGTCTTCAGGAACTCCAGAGCCGGAGTGGCTGTATCTGTGGGGAGGCAGTTTGCTGAGTGCTGTCATCCCCGGAGGGGTGCCCTTCTGGACGGGCCACCCCGGGGCTCTGCTGCGCACTTCCCGGGGAGTCTTCTGAGGGCTGACTCAGTGGTCACAGTGCATCCGAAGGCCTGGACTCCAGGAGCTGCTGTGGTCTATTTCCCAAGCCCAACTTGCTCTCTGCATAGTGAATCTGTGAGGCCTCAGTATCCTTCCTGAAAATCCCCTCTGTGTAAGTTCCCAGAGCCGGCTTCTGATGGGTACACCTGCTGAGCCAGTCTTCTAAGAGTCCTCGGCCTCCAGGCGCCTTTGGAGGCTGTCTTAGTCAGGCAATTGGTCCTGGGAGAATGTGTATTCACGTTAACCAGCCTCAGTGGCCGGTCTCTTGCAGATCTCTGTATCTCCTACTGAGGAAGTCCCCCCTGCCATCTGACCACAGGCCAACCTGCTGCCAAATGTGATGATGATATCACAAACATGTATTTGGGCTGAGTGTTTTAAAGAGGAAGAATCATTCAGAGATCTCACTGATTTTGTCTTCTAAGAACAAGGGGAGGAGTCCTCTGGATCAGAAACGGATCTCTTTGCTTCCCATCTCGCTCCACCTCTGTCTTCTCGTGCTGGAACCTGGCTGTGTCAGGCCTCTCTGATGTCTGGAATCTCGAGCTGTTTCCTGGAGACAGATGGTATTGATTTTGCATTTGTTCCACAATGCCTGTTTCTCAGAAAATATGAACATCAGCTATTGACACGGAGCTCCTGAAAATATCAGCCATGAGTCGATCTGCGACTTTGGAAGCTATTTGGTTGGCTGTTCAGCGTGGGGGCAGTTTTGAAGAACGCTCTATCTTCCAAGCCCTTGGGGCATTGTGGAAAATCATGAAACTGTTGCTTCTTTTGGAGTGTGGTCATCTTGCTGCTGATATTTTTGACAGTTTGGCTGTGTTTTAGTACCTTCGGCAGGAGAGGAAAAGGACTACCAGCTTCACATGACGGCACAGCGGGAAACGCATTGAACCAGGAACCCGCAGGAGTGGCAGCTCTGGTGCTGGCCCTGCTGCCATCTCTTCGTGACCTTGGGCAGATCATCTCCCCTCTTTGGGCCTCAGTTTCTCCATCGGTGAAGGGGCAGCTGGATCCATTCCTTCCCTGCATCTTGGGATCAGTGAGATGGTGGGAGGGTGGCTGGTGCCTGGATGTAGAACTCAACTGCTTTGTAAGGAAGGAGCTGGCTAGCGTGGAAAGTCACCTGGACTTACTGGACCTTGAGCACCTGAGTGGCCTTCTTTACATGCAAATAGAAAAACAAAGGGGATGCCATGGCCCTGCAGAAGGGATCCCCCAGGACCTGCTGTTCTGACCTCACAGAGCTTCAGGGCTGGTAGCTGGGGAAGAGGAGGCTTATTTGCATAGGACCACCAGTCCTCAGCCCCCTGAAGTCACGCCCAGGCCTGGCCATAGCAACAGGTTCTAGATTCCAGCAAAATGGTTTGTGACACTGAGCTGCCCATGAGGACTCTATGGGAAAGCTCTTTACAGCACAGGACAGCTGGGGGACCACATTGGGTCCAATCACTGCACGAACTCAGGAATCACAAGGGCTGCGTCCTCCCATGGGCTTCTCATCCCCCAAGACTTCACCATGCTTTTCTCTGTCACTTCTGCTCAGGGAAGTTTGAAATGCCATGCCTGGTGCAGACACTTGAAGAAATCAGCTTGGACAGGAGACATTTAGTGCTAGTTAGAAGGTCAACCAGTCCTAACTGGCAGGGGTGGCCCCAGGCAGCCTGCTGTCACCCAGTGCCCGGCCCCTGTCTAGCTGGCCACCTTCCCCTGCTGAGAGGTGTGCTCTGAGAGAAGGTGAGCACCCAGGCAGGGCCCTTGCCTGCCTTCAGCTCCCGGAAGCCCCAGAGCCAAGAATGGTGCCGGGCACGTGGAAGGTGCTTCATTCATTCACTCGTTCATTTGTTCATTCGGTTTTGAACATCCAGCCAGGTGGGGATCTGGGCTGAGGTTATTTAGAGATGGGCCATATTCAGCTCTTCACCCCGAGCTCACAAATGGCTGGGGAACCAGGCCCCCATGACATGCATGGGAAGCAGGGAATTCCAGTGGGGGCTCGGCAGGCTCATGTGTGCAGGTGCGGGTGGGTGCCTCTCACCCTTGCACTCACCCCACTTGCGTGGGATTTTGGGAGCCTCAAGCTTCCTCCAACTCACTGTCTGCAAACAGTGGGCTTTGGTGCCGACCACACACAGCAGCCCCTCAGTACCTGCTGCTCCCCTGGGAAAGTCAGCCTGAGCTTTGACCAGTGCCCTCTGCAAACTGTTGCTTGGCCCAACCCCTCCTGCTTTCCATCCCAGAATTTTCCTTCCTAGCAATTAGTGGGAGAGTTGAGACCCTTCCTTCCAGGCCTTTTGAAGCAGAAGTAGGCCCAGGGACAAAGAGGGCAGCCTCTGTCCCCGTGCCAGAGGTGGCTTTTCTGAAGGGTGAGCCTGGTGATGGGATGGGGGCATGTGGTTCGGTCATGTGCAGCCGGTACATGGCAGCGTTTTGTTTCCCCTGGTGTCGGCTCAGGGGATTTTGCCACGTGTTGACTTCTTTACTTCACAATTAGCCTTGAGAATTGAGCAGGTGAGATCAATCAGAAACAGTAGTATGCCTAGCAGGGAATTATTTATAGGATAAAGGAGTTGCCAAATCCCAACTGGAAGGGCCGCTGGAAGCTGCTTTATTGGGATATTTGCAGTTATAGCTGGAAAAGAAATATGTCATATATTTGATAAAGCAAAGATGGCAATTTATCGACTCAGTCAACAAAAGGGCAGGCTTCAGGCATGGCTTGATCCAGGAGCTCTCTCTCTCTCTTTCTCTCTCTCTCTCTGTCTCATTCTGTGTGTGTGTGTGTGTCTACTTTGCTGTTTGGATTTAATCCAGAGAGCCTCCCTTCCCTAGTGATTCTGCCAAGTCTTAGAATGAGTGGCCTCAACCAAGTCGAGTCATGTTTCTGTACCTGAACCCCTGGCAGTGGCCAGGGGACTGGGGTGTCCTAACTGGCCAGATTGGGGTCATGCATCTCTCAGAACCACAGAGACTTGAGGGTGGTGAAACATGCTGACCCCAAGGAATAGGAAGGTGTCGTTTTGGGAGGTGGCAGGTCTGGGCAGCACAAAGACCTCATGTTCTCTGCAGGGGTGATGGAGCCCACCCTCCCCACTGACAGGCATCCCCTCCACAGCCGCCTGGACAGGGGTGTGTCCGGGCCCTGCCTGGACCCGTGAGTGACAAGGCAGTTCTCTGGGCCCTCCTCACCTCGGTCCTGCCTGGCACTGCCCTGGCTTCAGCTTCTCTCACTTGCCACCATCCTGGTTCCATGCTGGGACCTGCACTTCAGCCCTTCCTCGGCTCTGAGAGGAGCCCTGGTGCTGAGGGTGGTGACTGTGCCCCGAGCTGCCTCCTCCCCAGAAGGTTGTGCCCAGTCCCTCCGCTGCTCTCATCTGACCCCATCTGGGCCCTCCAGTCCTGCCCACCCCTCCAGGAGAGATCCAGCCTTCAGCAGGAGGCTGGCCTTGCCTCACCAGCCCTCCCCTCCTGTACCCTGGACTTGCCACCTCCATCAGTGCCTCCTGGGTAGCAGCAAGCTGCTTGGCCCTGGGGAGGGACTGGGCCTGTCCCTCTGTCCCAGGGCATGGAGCTAGGCCAGCAGCAGAGGCCTACCCCTGTGCCATTGCTCAAACTCGGCTCAGGGACAGGGGTGCTGCAGGGAGGGGCGACTGAGGGAGTAGCAGCTGAAAATAAGACTTTAGGGTGAGGCCGGGCGCGGTGGCTCAAGCCTGTAATCCCAGCACTTTGGGAGGCCGAGGCGGGCGGATCACGAGGTCAGGAGATCGAGACCATCCTGGCTAACACGGTGAAACCCCGTCTCTACTAAAAATACAAAAAGAAATTAGCCGGGCGTGGTGGCGGGCGCCTGTAGTCCCAGCTACTCCGGAGGTTGAGGCAGGAGAATGGCGTGAACCCGGGAGGCGGAGCTTGCAGTGAGCCAAGATCGCGCCACTGCACTCCAGTCTGGGCGACAGAGCGAGACTCCATCTCAAAAAAAAAAAAAAAAAAAAAAAAAAAAAAAAGACTTTAGGGCGAGACAGGATGGGGCTCAGATCCTGGCTCCGACTCGACTACTAGCTGGACGCCTTTGGGCAAGTTTCTGAACCCACCTGAGCTCATCTACACATCATCAACCAGCAGCCAATAATGGGGTCTGACACAGGGGTGTGCCTGGGCTTCGGGTGGAAGCCTCTACCGCCCAGCCCAGTACCATGTGCAGTCTCGCTCTGTCACCCAGGCTGGAGTGCTATGGTGCGATCTCAGCTCACTACAACTGCTGCCTCCTGGGTTCAAGCGATTCTCCTGCCTCAGACTCCCAAGTAGCTGGGATTACAGGTATGCACCACCACGCCTGGCTAATTTTTGTATTTTTGGTAGAGATGGGGTTTCGCCATGTTGGCCAGGCTGGTCTTGAACTCCTGACCTGAGGTGATCCACCTGCCTCAGCCTCCCAAAGTGTTGGGATTATAGATGTGAGCCAGCGCCCCCAGCCCATATGCCCATTCTTAATTTACCATTGCTAATGAGAGTTCACTGCATGCTGGAACCTCAGAGCTGCGGGCCTCTTATTCAACAGGGGAAAACTGAGTCCCAGAGACAGGGAGAGACTTGCTCAAGGTCACACATTGAGACCAGGGAAAGCCTGGTCTTCTGACCCCCAGCCCAGGGCTCTGACCACTGTGACCTCAGGGATGGCCCATTGACTCCTGTCAATTCCTGTGTCGATTTCTGAAGCGAATCCAGGGCTATGGAAAAGAAAAGGGGAGAGAAAAAATAAACACTTTTCAGGCAAAATCATAGCCTGATAAGGAATCTGTTCTGTCAAATATCCCTGCCTCCTGAGGAGACTCAGAGTCAGAGTTAGAGCAGCCCCTGGTTGGTGTCACCACACTGCTGTGGGGATGTGGGTGTCTAGGAAGGCGGCCACTGATGGGAGGGGCTTGAGCCTTGTGAAGGCAGATAAGAGAGTCCGACACTCAGGTCTAAGAACTTTGGTGCCCTTCCTTCCTTCCTTCCTTCCTTCCTTCCTTCCTTCCTTCCTTCCTTCCTTCCTTCCTTCCTTCCTTCCCTCCCTTCCTCCTCACTCCTTCCTTTCCTTATTCCCTCCTTCCCTTTCCACCCCTTCCTTTCTTCCCTCTGTTTCTCCCTCCTTCCTCATCCCATCCTTCCTTACCTCCCTCCCCACCCCTTTCTTCCCTTCTTCCCTCCCTCCCTCCCCACTCCTTCCTTCCCTTCTTCCCTCCCTCCCCACCCCTTCCTTCCTTCCCTCCCTCCCTCCCCACCCCTTCCTTTCTTCCTTCCCTCCCTCCCCACCCTTTCCTTCCTTCCCTCCCTCCATCCTCACTCCTTCCTTCCTTCCCTCCCCACCCATTCCTTCCCTCCCTCCCTCCCCACCCTTTCCTTCCTTCCCTCCCTCTCTCGCCACCCCTTCCCTCTCTCCCTCTTCACCCCTTCCTCCCTCCCTTCCTTCCTTTTTCCTTCCCTCCTTCCTTCCTTCCTTTCCTTCTTTCCCTCCTTCCTTCCTTTTCCTTCTTTCCGCCCTCCTTCCTTTCTTCCCCTTTTCTCTCCTTCCTTCCTTTCTTCCTTCCTTCCTTCCTTCCTTCTTCCCTCCCTCCCTCCCTTCCTTTCTGTCTTTCCCTTAAAAATAATGCCTTTATTACTTTTATAAAAATATTACATGTTCATAAACAATTCAGGTGAAAGAGAGAAGCAAAAATAAAAGAAAAAAGAATAATTATACACAATTCAACATCTCACGATCCAGAAATAATTGTTAAAATTAGCTAGTGGTCATTCCACACGTCTCTCTAGGAATATATACAGATACATAAATAGGAGCAGTCTGATAAAGTGGGACAATCTCACAAATGCTCCTTTTAAATTTAATTTTATTTTATTTCTTAAAGACAGACTCTCTGCCACTCAGACTGGAGTGCAGTGGTGTGATTATGGCTCCCTGCAGCCCCAAACTCCTGGGCTCAAGTGATCCTCCTACCCCAGCCTCCTGAGTAGCTGGGACTACAGGCAAGCACCTCCATGTCTGGCTAAGTTTTATAAAGTTTTAAAATAGACATGGGGGTCTTGCTGTGTTGACCATGCTGGTCTCAAACTTCTGGCCTCGAGAGATCCTTCTACCTCAGCCTCCCAAAGCACTGGGATTACAGGCATAAGCCACCATGCCCGGCCCACATACTCCTTTAAAATAAAATTGTTGAATTTTTCTTAAAGTTAATAGCAGCAATGAAATATCTGAAGTGAAACTGAGACAATGGTTGAATTTCAGAGCAATGTTTCTTTGCCTCAAAAAACCATCGTTCTTAAAAGAGTTCTGAAGATTGAGGGAAAAAAGATTATGGAAAAAATAACCTGGGCGTCATTTTATTTAAAGGATGTTTCCATTCTAGACAATTTCAACTGGTTCTGTGATGTTGAAAGGTAAGGAAAATAGCAAGCTTTTTTTTTTTCTGAAGGTCCTCTACTAATTTTTGTTCACCAGTCTTTTTACCTTGTCTATATTTATAATGTTTGGATTCTCTTCTGCAGGGTTTCTTTTAATTCTACATTTTGTTGTGTTTAGTTCTCATCATTTTTTTTTCATGACTTTTTCATTCCAAGGCTTTTTCCTCTATGTTGAGGCTCTATTTTATTGTGAAATTTTTTTTTTCTTTCTTTTCAAGCATCATGGGTTCTGTGTTGCCTCCGTCCTTCATGCTAGATAATGCCTGTCCCTTGATTCTTATATTTTAAGGACAACTTGAAGCATATTTGATTTTCCCTTTAAAGCTGCCTTTCCATGGGTTTTGCACTAGTGTGAGGATTCCCTCCCCATCCCCTTCTTTCCCCCCATCTTCCCTTCCCTGACCCCAATATCCAGTTTCCTTTTCCTTGTGATACACATTGCCTGGATTTAACTGTCATAGAGATTTTAAAGACATGCTTATGGCCGCGGCACTCCCTGAGTTCTTCCAGGCTCTTGGAGAATGTTTGCCTGTGGCTCTTTGGCTCCAATGACAGGTCAGATGATCACAGCATTACGGATTCCTATTTTCACTGCGATTTGTGGATGTTGCTCGGTTACCCTCTGGATGAAACTTGCCGAGGAAGAGTCTGAATCCAGCATGATTTTATGAGTCCTCCCTTCCCCCTGAAAATGCTTCTCTTTCCTCTGCGAGTGCATGAAGAATTATTTTCTTTCTTTAACCATTGTATTTCCTGATGCCCGTCATTTCCAATAAATTTTTCTTGAACATGTTGTGCCGTTTGGATAGAAACATAAAGTCCTTCACCTTGAAACGAATGTCCTATATTATGTCTTTTGATGGCTTTCTTCTTTCATTTTTCACTCATGTCCCCAGACCAGGCAGGAAGGAAATAGGTGTGAAAAAGTGAAAGTGCTCTCACACTCATTTTAAAAGGCACGTCTGTTCCAGGCACCAACATCAGAGAAAAGCGGCCAAAGACAACGGTGAATGAAACTCAATTTAGGAACAAACATTACTGATAAAATATTAGTCTATCAAATCAAGAATGTGATCACAAGAAAAATACAGCGTGTTCCAGCGTGGCTTATTCCAGCAACAAAGGAACGGCATTAGGAAATCTACTAATGTAATTTACTCCATTGGTAGATTAAACCATGTGACTCCAAATAGAGGCTGAAGCAGCATTTGATGCAATTTAACACCCATTCATGATTAAAAAGAAAAGATGATTAGCTGTCTTAGCCAGTTCCTATTTACTGTCCATTTGAGAGGGAGCCTGGAGAGCCACCGTGGCTGCTGGAAGAGCAATTTGGAGAGTGACCAGTTGTTCCAGTTTGCTTGGGACTGAGGGTTTTCCTGGGATGGGGGACTTTCAGCTCTAAAACTGGCAACCTGGGATGGGGGTCGCCACGTAGAGGGTTTTGGCAGCAGCTCAGCAACAGAGGAATTAAAGAATGGTTAAACTGTTCTGCAGAAGAAAATGAGATTTTTTTTGTTGTTCTCTAGAGGGAGGGAGACAAGAGAAAGAGAGGCAGAGGATTGAGGAAAGGGGCAAGCGGGTGTGAGCTGGTGTGGATGTGGGTGAGGGCACCCTAAGGTGCGAGCCAAGGCTGTTTTAGGAACAGTGGTGCCTGATGCTAAGTGTGTTCTTGCAATGAGAGCTTGAGAGCCCCATCTCCACCTCCTCCCCTGCGGCAGGTACTGGTGGTGCCCAGATTAGCCCCAGTTCCTGAGCTGCTGCTCCCTGCCCTGGCTGCTGTGTGTTGGCTGTTGTCCCTCATATAGTTTGGATGTCTGTCCCCTTCAAGTCTCATTTTGAACTGTGATCCCCAATGCTGGAGGTGGAGCCTGGGGGAGGTGTTTGGGTCATAGGAGTGGATCCCTCATGAAGGGCTTGGTGCTGTCCCCTTGGTGATCAGTGAGTTCTCACACTGTTAGTTACCAGGACATCTGATGGTTAGAAAAAGACCCTGGCACCTCCTCCTTTCTCTCTTGCTCCCTGTCTCACCAGAGGACACATCTGCTGCCTCTTCTCCCACCGTGAGTGGAAGCTTCCTGAGGCCTCACCAGAAGCAGATGCTGGTGCCATGCTTCTTGTACAGCCTGCAGCACCATGAACCAAACAAATCTCTTCTCTTTATGAGTTCCCCAGCCTTGGGTATTCTTTTATAGCAACACAAAATGGATGAACACACCCCATGTTCTGGGGAATCACTTTGGTCTCATTACACCCCCTGCTCCCCATAGCTCACAGCTGAGTGACAAGGGAGTACAAAAGCCTGGCCCTCTTTATGTTCTGCTAAGGACCCAACCCAAGGCTACTCCCTTCAACAAAGCCTGCAACACTTAGAAAGTTGTGTGTGTGGCCAGGCATGGTGGCTCGTGCCTGCTATAATCCCAGCACTTCGGGAGCCCGAGGCGGGTGGATCACCTGAGGTCGGGAGTTTGAGACCAGCCTGGCCAACATGGTGAAACCCGTCTCTACTAAAATATACAAAAATTAAGCTGGGCATAGTGGTAGGTGCCTGTAATCCCAGCTACTTGGGAGGCTAAGGCAGGAGAATCACTTGAACCCAGGAGGTGGAGGCTGCGGTGAGCTGAGATCACACCATTGCTCTACAGCCTGGGCAACAGAGCGAGACTCTGTCTCCAAACAAACAGACAGAAAGTTGTGTGTGCATGTTGAGGGTGGAGCTGGGTGTTCCCATTTGAGTCAACCAGGTGAGGAACAGAGACAGTGTCAGGGAAGCAGGATTCTGGGCCAGGGATGAGCACAAGGGTTTACAATGATCTTGGGAAGGGTCTTGGACTTACACAGAATACAGAGTTGGAGCTCAGGCCAGTCTTACCTAGACCTCAGTGGGAAGGGAGGCTCCTGCCTTCCTCTGCGATGCATACATGAGCACATGGAGACTCGATGGGGTCAAGGAACTTGTCCAGTGTCTCCAAGTAAGAGGCCAGGCTGAGATTAAAACCTCAGCCTGGAGGAGTCAAAGCTTGAGCTCTACTCACCAGGCTGACCTGCTGGATGTGTGACTCTGGGCTGACTTCGTCCCCTCTCTGGGCTTCAGTTTCCCCAAGGAGGCTGCAGAACCAGGGTGCCTCCAGGAGCATTTCCACTTCTGATGCCAGTTTTGGAGGAAGTGCCGTGGTTGCTTGGAATGGGTGAGGGACCCGAGTTTCATAGGACGCTGTAGGTAGGCTGGCTGATGTCTAAGGTGGCAGATGAGCTGGGGCTTAGGACTCACGGGCAGTGTAGCTTATTGCACACCTTTTTCTTTAAGGACAGCATCTGCTTCTAAGTAGGTTACACTTACTGTGGCTTGTTTGCATCTTTCTTTGCTTAGAAAGCAAACCCTTTCTTCTAAGCTAAGCTTCCTCCTAGGCCTATGGGATTAGCACATACTCCAGATTAATGGGGTTCAAATTAATGTGATTTATCGTCATGGTTTTCAAAAGATGTGGTCTACTTATATAGCTACTACTTTTTTTTGGGACCAAAATTTAGGACACTTGGACCAACAAAAGATATTTTCTTTTCAGTCTTGCATGCAAATATATGGAAGATCTTAGAAAATTATGGAAAGTGGGGCACACTGAACAAAATCACTGCCGTCAGAGAGAATGAAGTGATGCAAGATCAGGAGGTGTCGGGAAGCCTAGGCGTGCGTCGCCACGTTGATCTCCGTGTGAAATAAGACCGACTCAGTATCTGCAGCTAAACAACTCTTGAGAAACTCCAAAGGGCTGAGTGCTGCCCAGGCTTCAGGAAAATAAGACAACAGACACTACGCGCTTTTCCAATGTGGCTGGCACTCCGTGCTTGCAATCACATATGTGCCACAGACAGGATTTCTATCAAACAAACAAGAAGGAGCAGATGGATGCCAAGCCCGTCGTCTCTCTCCTGGTGCGTTTAGCAAGAGCCAGTGGCAAAGTCCAGCTTGGGTCATCATGGGAAGTTTCCACATCATCCATGAAATTCTGTGGTGGACTTGTTACCCACACCATGGGTGGGTTTGATGGCTTGGTGGCTGGCAGTGCAATGACAACAGCCATGTTGGCTTTTATTACCCACAACACTGGGGATCATTTTCAGAGCAGCGCTTTTCTAATCACTGGAGAAAGCAGGGCTTGCCTTGGGCTGGGGAGCTGAGTCATTTTATGTAGAGGCAGAGTCAAGGTGGTCATAGATCATGTTTCCACATATGTCGCATGTATAGAAAACAGGCTCCTCTCTGGCCATGGATTCTAGTGTAGTAACTAGGAGAGTTCCCCAGAGTTCGTCTCTGGATCCAACCAGTTTTTGTTTTACCAGAGCTGAGCTTTTTGCTGGAACGTTTTGAAACAACAACTCAAGGTGCAACCATTACTAGTGGGTCCTTTTTTTTTTTTTTTTTTTTTTTTTTTTTTGAGACTAAGACTCACTGTTGCCCAGGCTGGAGTGTGCAGGGGCTCGATCTCAGCTCACTGGAACCTCTGCCTCCTGGGTTCAAGCAATTCTCCTGCCTCAGCCTCCTGAGTAGCTGGGATTATAGGTGTGCACCACCATGCCCGGCTAATTTTTCTATTTTTAGTAGAGACGGGGTTTCACCGTGTTGGACAGGCTGGTCTCGAACTCCTGACCTCAGGTAATCTGCCTGCCTTGGCTTCCCAAAGTGCTGAGATTACAGGTGTGAGCCACTGTGTCCGGCCACTAGTGGGCAGTTTTGCACAGTGTGTAACCCCAAACCCGGGACCCTGGGATACAGACTAGTGCCCAAGACAAACCCAGTGAAGAATTAAGGATCTTTGGACTCATCTCCAACTATTTCTGGACTCAGCTGGCAGGAGAAAGGAGTCTCAGAATGCCCAGCTCCACCAGAGGTGCCCGGCACCTCCCCTCACTCCACACTCAGAAAGCGATGTCATTTCTCGTGCCAATCAGCTCTAAATGATTATGTAATTACATTTGTGAATGTAATCCTGTGGGTCATCATTCTAATTATAGCCCACAATCCTTTCTAGCAGCATTCAGAGAAATAATATGTGCGATGAAATGGGGCTACTCTGTGTACTACAAGAACATCCAGGAACCTGAGTGCATGCGGTCGCACCTGGCCCCTGGAATCCACATACTCTTGGCTTTTTCTTAAAAAGGGGATCAAAGGGTCCAGTCCATGGCAGCCGCTTCTCAGGGCAGGTGCAATTCAGTGCATGCTTTAATTGCAGGTCCCCAAAGAACTTTTCAGACATTATTTTTTTCATTGTTCATGATGCATTATTTAAAAGTAATTTTGAGTGAATTTTATGGTATGTAAATTATGCCTCAATAAATTGGTTAAAAATAAAGTGGTTACTAAGTTAACTATAATCAACATGGACGTGTGTGTGTTACACAGACAATCACTGCTGCAGCCCAAGGGTGGATCATATGAGATGAGGATGATCTGGAAGGTCCTGAGGTGGACACTGAAGGATTCTAAAAATTGATTAGCAGATGTGTTCAAATGGAACGCTAGCAGACATTCACGTGTAATATGCTGTTTCTCTTTCTTTTTTCCTTCCTTTCCTCTTCTGTTTCTTCTGTTTTCTTTCCCTCCCTCTTCTTTTTCCCTGTCCTTCATTTCCTCCTCCTCCTCCTCCCCTACTTCCTCAGCATCTCTTATTATTTCGGCCTTGCTTTTTGATAAGAGTGGGATCTTTCCAATAGTACTGAAGTTTTATAGAGATTATTATTTGATGTGTACTCACTTTAGGCCCCACACAACAGTAGGCTTCCTGAAGGGCTCCATGTTCTGGCCTCTGTCCCCTGGGAGTTTATTCATTCGCTGCTGGGAGAGGAGGCACCACCACAAGCACAGGAGGCTCTCGGTCTTCAGTCGTGCACCCTGTGGTCATGGGTGCCAGGGAGTCAACTGCCCTGCACTCCTGAGGACGGACTGGCGTGTCAGGGGCCTGCCTCAGCTAGTAATGGCACTGGAGTCAGTGGGGTCCTTTGCCAAACTCATGCAGGCAGCATACTGTGTTCCTTAAAATTGCTCATTTTCAACTTTCTGTAGAATTTGATTCAGGCTTTCTGCCCTCATCGTGGTCTTTTCAGTTCATGGGCATTTTGTTTGTTTTTGAGATGGATCGCTTCTCGGCCTTTTGGCTAAGATCAAGTGTTTTTGAGATGGAGTCTCACTCTTTTTGCTCAGGCTGGAGTGCAATGGCGCGATCTCAGTTCACTGCAACCTCTGCCTCCTGGGTGCAAGCGGTCATCCTGCCTCAGCCTCCAGAGTAGCTGGGGTTATAGGCATGTGCCACCATGCTAAGTTTTTTTTTTTGTGTTTTTTTTTTGTCCTTTTAGTAGAGATGGGATTTCACCATGTTGGCCAGAATGGTCTTGATCTCTTGACCTTGTGATCTGCCTGCCTCGGCCTCCCAAAGTGCTGAGATTACAGGTGTGAGCCACTGCGCCTGGCCTTGCATGGAAATTTTTGTAAAATAAATTATATTTTTAATATTTAATCATTATTGTTAGTATGAATTCACCTAATTATCACCATCATCGGTTCACCTTTTCAAATAATCTGTGTTGGTCATAACAAATGTTATATATGTGGTGATGATTTAGTTTTTGAATCTGACATCTGGGGTTGAGAGAGAGTGCATGAGAGAGGGAGAGCATGCAGGTGTTCTATCAGAGATTTTTCTGTCTGATTGGTTGGACTTGCTCTGAGTTGTGGGGGTCAAGGATACTCATTCACAAGTTTTGGTCTGGCTCTGACATTGAAGTTGTGCTACATTCATTTACTGTTTTACATAGAAAACAATTTTACATAGAAAATAGTTTTTTATGTCAGGGAATATTCTATAATGTTTGTTTAAACAGATTCCATAAGCAAAATGATCTACAGCAGAGTCTCAAGCATCTATATTGCCTTACTGCATGCGAACTGTCCGTGGGTAAATGAAGTGGGAACCTGAGTGTTTATCGTGCTCAGATGGAGACAGAAAGCTGTTTATCAAAGCCTGTTTCTTTCTCTGACTTTCTTATGCTACATTTTATCTCCTTTTTCTAATGACTGAGTAGACTCTTCAGTTCATTTATTTTTATTCTTGTTTAGTCATGAGATCAAACAAGGCTATTCATTTTCCTCTGAGTGTACTTTTGTTTGAATCCTGTAAGCTTTGATGTGATGCTATGATTGTCATTCTTTTCTAAATAGTGTGCAAATTCTATTTAACCCAAGAGTCTTGTAGGAGACTTTTATATTTTTAAAATTAAAAAAACCTAAATGGGCTGGGTGCAGTGGCACATACCTGTAATCCCAGCATTGTGGGAAGCCGAAGTGGGTGGATCAGCTGAGGTCAGGAGTTCGAGACCAGCCTGGCCAACATGGTGAAACCCTGTCTCGACTAAAAATACAAAAAAATTAGCCAGGCATGGTGGCAGGCGCCTGTAATCCCTTGGGAGGCTGAGGCAGGAGAATCACTTGAACTCAGGAGGTGGAGGTTGCAGTGAGCTGAGATGGCACCACTGCACCCCAGGCAGGGCAACAACATTGAAACTCCATCTCAAAAACAAACAAACAAGCAAACAAACAAAACACACACACACACACACAAACACACACACACACACACAACCCTAAATGATTAGGTTTTTAACATTAAACATTAATTATTCTCTTCTAGTTTTATTATATTGTGATGAAAGAATGTGGCCCGTATCATTTTATATAATTTTGGAACTTATGGAAGGTATTTTTTTTTTTTGTGGTCAAAAGTATTTATTTTGGTCATGAATGCTGAAAAGGTAGATGCATTTTCTGTAGGAAATCAAATTTATTAACTTACAGTCAGATTTTCTATATTTTTTGTTCATCTTACTTTTTGCTAACTTATCCTGTCCATGGCAGACCAGGTGAGCTGAGTGGGGACTCTGGGTCCTGGGGGCCACGGTGGTGGACTGATGACAATGTGGACCTGTCCATCTTCTCTTCCCTGTAGTCCTGCATGGGGAAAAGAGCTCAGGAGTGAGCTAATGTGGATTTGAACCCTGGCTCTGGCCGCCCTTCACCATTGTGGCCATCTGTGAAGTGGGAATGGGAGCATGAATTTGTCAGGGACGTAGGGAGAATGAGGTAGGACAAGGATAGGGAAGTCTGTTCCCTCCCCTTGCAGCCCGGCTCTCATCCCAGTGGCCCCTATGCGCCCCATACCATGCCTCCCTGAAAGCTACCCCTGCATCCTGGTAGATAAGAGACAGCCCCGAAAGTGGAGTAATGTAGGCCTCCTCCTCAGGTGGGCTGGGGGCTGTTTGCAGACCTCTGAGTTTTCAGGCATAGTTGGGAGGTTTTGGAGACTTTTCTGGGATCCCCTTTCAAATCCTACCAGGCTGTAGGCTTTCTGTTTGCCTCTGACTTAGGACAGTCTGACCAAGCCAAGACCTTCATGTCTGCTCCCGGAAAACGCGCCTCACTGTTAGGAGTCCCTGTAGGACTTCCGGGTGGTCAGCACCACACCAGTGGGGATCCTGCGGATGTGCAGCTGCAGTTGTAACCGGACCCAGTTCGGCTGTGTGCTGCTTAAACACCAAACACAAGGGGTGAGAGTTGGTGGGAGGAAAGGCAGGTTTATTCAGACCAACCAGCAAACCACGAAGATGGAGGACTAGTGTCCTAAAGTACTATCTTTAGTTAGGACACATTTGAGGCTCTTTTTATGTTAAGGGCAGGGTAAAGAAGAGGGGGCTAGGATTAAGAGGTGGTAGATGACTGCAGACATTTGGGCGCCAGTGAGGTTCCGAGGAGGTTGGGAACACATTTGTCCTCCGTCAGGTGACAATGCTCCTGTAATCTTTAACAAAACATCGTTGGTCGTTGACAGACTTCCCTTTAGCCTCAGTGTTAGCTTAAAAAAAACGACATGATTGCTGTTTTTGCGTAATAACTCAGTGCTCTAAAATTATCCTAGCCTGTAGGCAGCAAGGGGTCAGGGGTCCTTAAACAAAAATGGAGTGAGTGATGTTAGTTCTCTTGCTGTTTCACTGTTACTCAGTCATCTAGTGGTCTCGGGGAGACAGGGACCTGGGTCCCCAGTGCTACAGCCCATGGGCTCAGGCCATCCTGCTGTCCCAGCCCAAGGCCTTCCCTAAGCTCCCAGGCCCCCAGGAGGGTAGGAATGGGAACTCACTGGGTGCAGGTCCAGGAGAGGCTGGCTGGCTCCTCACTGTCCCGGAAGCAGGAAGCTCCAGGTAAATCAGAGTCAGCCGGCAGCCCCTGGTGAGGTCAGAGGTGCAGCTGACACGGGCGTGCTGCAAAGGCAGAGATTTAGGCCTAGGAAGAGGCCAGGAGCTCCAAGAGTGCTGCCAGGCTCACTCTCTGCCTCAGCTGCCTATAGCCTGGAACT